TAGCTTACGACAGCCTCAAACTCCTGGGCTCAAGTGATCCCCTCAACTCAGACTCCTGCATGGCTAGGGCTACAGGCATAAGCTACCACACCAGGCTAATTAAAAAAAAAATCTTTTTATACAGATGGGTCTCACTATGTTGCCCAGGGAGGTTTCAAACTCATGAACTTAAGTGATCCTCTCGCCTCAGATTCCAAAACCCTTGTGATTACAGGTGTAAGCCACCCTGCTTAGCCAGGGCTAATATATCTGAATCCACATGCAGTTCTTGTGAAAACCTCTAATAATTCTCTAGAAATATTAGAGATATAAAAAAATAAAAACGTACAAATATTTAAGCATCTAACTGGTAATGTGTCAGAAGCTTTGTAGAGAAAATCATTACTCAACAAAAGAGTATACTCTAAATTCCGTACCATCTCTTAATCTTCACAATGACCCTAAGAGGAAGATATTAGTACTCCCATTTCACAGATGAGAAATCTAAGATTCAGAGAGGTTAATTTGTCCACGGTCATCACTGAAGTTTGAATCCAGGTCTAATAGCTGAGATCCTGTTCCCCAAACCACTGCCTCAAACCACCATCAATCACATTAACAGAAGTCTGACATAATCACAAAGGTTTAAAAAGGAAGAAAACCACTACATACACATCTTACATTTCTGCCAATCTTGACTCACTTTCATTCTTGCCACCCCCACCCCAGCCTGTCATCCAACTCTGCCAAGTGATAAACCAAATGCATTTATGCCTCATCCGCCTGCTTTAATACATGTTTGGCTGGGGGCTGAAGCTACCAGGATCACCGGGCTGATAGGCGGGCCCTGTGGAGGCTGTGACACATCAACAGGTTTGTTAAGGAATTATGCAGATCATACTGACAGTACTTCAAAGTTTCAAAACATTTTCACATATATCTTCTCTTCAAAACTTCATGATAATCCTCCATTTTATGTGATGGGAAACTGAGGCTTAGAAAGGCTAGTTGAGCTCTGTCGAGGGTAGTATGATCTTGAGGAGCAGGGCAGAATTCACAACTATAATTACTTATAACTAGGGTCTCATAACTGCCTTATCCTGAAGCAAATGCATTGATTTCGACATGCATATGAAATACTTCCAAATGCAACACCATGTTAGGACATCTGTGTTCTATTCCCAGCCCTTAGCCTGTAAGCAAGTCAGCCAGCCGCAGTAGCAAAAGGGCTCTGACCAGCTAATCAGCCCAATAATCCATGATTCAAATGGTTAACCACAGTATCAGCAAGAGTTCAACCTTATCCTTGTTCACAAATGTTCAGAAAAATCTGTTCATAGGCAACACTGTCTTACAGCTCCCGGCTTCCTCATGCCTTGCCTCATATTTTTCTTCAACCAGGTCCAGAAGTTTAGGAGTGTTTTTTGGAAACAGCAGCACTTCAAGTATAAAGGACGGTCTGCCCTGTCCTCTGTTCTGCTTTCCTCTGGAACCTATGCGTCCGAGACCACAGCAATGGCCAGCCTCTGAAAGGCGAGCTCTTCTTGGCTCCCGATTTCTTCCTCTGGTTCCTCCTGCTTTAGCCTCGTGTCTAGCACTATCTGTTAAAACTCTTTCACAAGTGAGTCCTTTTGCCAAACTTACCACACACATCTCTCCTCTTTCCATCCCCCACAAAAGAGCTTTTTTTTTTTTTTTTTTTTTAACTTCCTTATATGTTTTCCTGGAAACCTCAGACATACTCCCCATCAATTACGTCACGCTAAAATAAAGCTGCTATTGACCATCCCCTGAGCATATCCTGGATTTTCCTACTTCCTTCATGCCTTTACAGATCTCCCTAAAAATTACCTCCACTTTGATTCTCTCTTCAGCCAGAAGGCCTTCCCAGAACACTGCACTGTAGTGGTCAAGCCTTCCTCTAAACTCCTAGTGAGACATCTCTAAACACCTAACCTAAATCCTTAGGATAGCCCCAGTGCTTCGCTTTGTTTATACACAGGTCCGGACTCCCCTCAGTATATGGGAGGCAGCTCAGTAAGTGCCTAAATGAATGACATCTATATAGTACTTTAACAAAACACATTGATTAAACTTCTCATTTGACCCTCCAAACAATCCTGAGCTGCTGTTCTAGTTTAAAAAACAACTGTAAAGATCAGAGAAGTTAAGTGATTTTTTCATAGTCACACAGCCATGAAGCACCAGAGCCAGGACCCAAATCTGGGTATTGAGACATCTCTTTGGAATTTTGTATACAACATATCTATGTTTCGAATCCTTTGTGACAAATAGCAAGTAAAACATAAACATGATTTAAACTAACTTGTTTCTGGGAATTATTGAAGTTAATACAAATTTTCCTCCTCAGCTCAATTTCTCCTGGTCCTTTAGGGCAAGTGTATTGTGCAATGAGACTTGCAAACAGGCTTACGTACATTATTAGAAAGTGTGTGTGTGTGTGTGTCTGTGTGCGCGCGCGTGCGCATGTGTTTCAGGACATACAGAAAGAACAAAACTCTTATCAAAAGCGAACATAAGACAGAAGAGATAGTATTCATAGGCCAGAGAAGAAACATACATATATTTTCTTCTGATGAAAACAAATCAAGCCAATTAATCCTGTGTAAGTTTCTACAAGTGAATATATTTATGGGGAGCCGATCATCTATTTTCAAACACACAGGCAGCCAGGATGAAGAAGAAAAGCCCCAGTTTTGGCAGAGTACTATAGGAAACGGAAAAAGAAAAAATGAATTTGTTGCTATCTATTGGGTTTGCTTTTGGACTATTCAAGCTAGTAGCTTTCATTACCATTAGATTTTTTAGCCAACAAGGAACAAACAATGAAGTATTAACCCCAAAATAAAAGAGACAGATGTCTTTCATAACTATATGAAAAAAAGTACTTCTGCTATCTTTAAGAACACTCATATTTCATTGAAGCAAGTTCTGGAGGTGGTAGTAAATCACCCCCAGATGTGAAATCCATGCTATGTTCAAGTCTGACTGGGAGTCAAACAGCCACAGTTTGCTTCTAAATTTGGAATCAGGCAGTAATCACAGTGATCGCAACCTCTGGCCTCTCTTCTTCCCTATAAATCACAGAATTTTTAAAAGAAATTTTAAGGCTAGCCCAAAACTTCTCACGTTGCAGATGAGGAATGGAGGGCCAGAGACTAAAACACAAAATAGAAAATAAATTACATTCACAGAAAACTTCCTTAGCAGAACACGACAGGTTCTGAATGGAAGGATTTTATTTTACTGTGGTTTCCTGAGACTGGGATTGGGGACAGAAAAGGAAAAATAAAAAATATCCTCAATCTTTCACCTAACAATCTTCATAGGTATGAGGAATCTGTCATGAAGATTCATTCAACCAAACTATCTCAAAACCACACATTACTAATCCCACTTTGACTATCGTCACCATTGAAACAAGAAAGCTGCCGATAACTGACTGAAATTGATCAGCTTGTTCTTCAAGCCCCATTAATCCTCAAATCCACCTACATACAAATCACTGAGATCACATAGTGGGAAGAACAAGTTTTCACCAAGTTTCTAAAAACAGGAGTAAAAGATGCAATAGAAACACTGATTACAAAAGGACAGAAAGGGAACTGAAACTTGTAGAAATTTACAAATGCATTACTTAGTTCATAGTATTGTCAGAACCACTGCCATGGTTTTTTTTTTCTAGAAAAGCTGTATTTTTAATTACATGTCAAATGTGATGGCTTTGTCTGTCTTAATATTAGCTCCTAATTATATAAAACATCTGAGCCTCATTTCTCCAGCCTCAAAACACAGTTCACTTTCTGTAAAAGAAATTAAGGGGTAGGATTAGGTAGGAAGGAGGGAGAAGAACAAGTGCGACTCTCCTGTTCTGACCACTATAACTTGGTCCTAAGCACTGCCCACCATGTGATGGTCACATAAGGGTAACAGGCCAACTGGGACAAAGTTGGGGAGCACAGACTCTGCCGTGACCCACTGAGAATCCAATGCCTGTTGACAAGAGCTGATTGGAAACTGGCAGAGTGCAGAAGAAACTGTTAAAAGTATCTGTAACCCTGACATGAAAGATCTGATCAAAACAGCAGGATGGAGAGATTATTACTGTTATTGATACCACAAAAAGAAAACAGCCATTATAAATTGACCAGAACATAAGGCTTTTTCCAAGTACTTTCACAAGCAGACATGAGACTCAGATTTCTAATTAAAAATCACTGTGCACAGAGCCAAATATTTGAGTCAGCAGTGAACTTACCTAATTGTTACACTGCATTCCCTTGGAGCCATCTGTCATACCTGGCTAGCTTTCTACTCTCATCCCAACCAAACTTCAGATGAAGATGAACCCTTTCTCAGATAAATTACACTTCATCAAATCTGCTGATACTTTTTATTGAAATCTCCAATGCATAAGTCAACATCGCTCTGGGGGCTAAAGGTCTGACTACACATTGCATGGGAGAGGACTGATTTTTTTTTTTTTTTGAGACGGAGTTTCGCTCTTGTTACCCAGGCTGGAGTGCAATGGCGCGATCTCGGCTCACCGCAACCTCCGCCTCCTGTGTTCAGGCAATTCTCCTGCCTCAGCCTCCTGAGTAGCTGGGATTACAGGCACGTGCCACCATGCCCAGCTAATTTTTTGTAGTTTTAGTAGAGACGGGGTTTCACCATGTTGACCAGGATGGTCTCGATCTCTTGACCTCGTGATCCACCCGCCTCGGCCTCCCAAAATGCTGGGATTACAGGCTTGAGCCACCGCGCCCGGCCCTGAGGACTGATTCTTCATGAGGGTTTCGCTCACTCTGCTCAACCAGGACCAAGAAGGAGATCCTATAGAGTTCCTACTCCTTGATCCAAAAATGAACGGAAGAAACAGAACTCAAGAGATTATTAAATAAGCTAGACGGTTGGGGGTGCTGGAGAAGGTAGTATTAAGAGAGACCAAGTATTGGAATAAATGAGGCAGTTAAGAAGTTCCGGGGCATCAAAGGACTGACCTTCAGACTTCCGGGTGTTACAAAGGTCTGGCAATCCACAACAACAGACAGAGGGCCTCAGCGGCAGCTCCCTAAAGCCTCTGACAGGCACACTCAGTCCTGTCAGCTTGGATTCAGCCCTGCCAACGCCAGCAAACAAACACATGCATTCTTCCCAGAGCTGACACCCCATACAACACGGCCTCTCTACAGGGCCTGTTTACTTAAGAAGCCAGATGCTTTGATGTTGGAGTAGAAGTTGGGAAGTTATGTTTAAAGAAGTAGTTAGTGACAGGAGCAGAGGGAGGGCAGAAAATAAGCAACAGTTCCTGGCTTTACTCATCATAAGTTTAAAAAGTTTTAAGGAAATTGTCAAATGGGCTGTGCAAAGGAATGAGAAGTAAGAAAATTATGTCAGTCACCACCACAACTCTGGCCAAGGCATTTCCTCAGTTCCTTTAAGACAGTTTCATGCCTCCCCTCAAAGGGGTGCTTACAGCAGAAATGTTTTGAAGCAACCCAGCTTAGCAACCAACATTAATAAAGTCTTCTAGGCCTGCTCAATTTCACTCATGTACAAAGGTTATAAATGTCATGAATACTCCAAGCAGTTGAAGGAAAGAATCAGTTAAAAATGTGGCATGAAAGCAGTTTTCAGTTCAATGCAAAAGGAAGACTATGGAGTCTAAGAAAAGAGCATTTATAAATGATTCTTAATAATAGCTTCGTGAGTGCTAATAATGTGCCATTGTCCTAATGAGTTATTACATATGTATATATTATACAACACAATGTGATATGTTGTATTACAAACTATAACTCATTACAACTAATACAATGTAACATTACATTGTATATGTATATATTATGATACAAATATGCATTATGTAATATACATATATGTATATATCATGTATATATAATTTAACACACACTCATTTAATTCTATCACTCTATGAATTAAGTACTCTTATCTTCACTTTACAGATTAGGAACTGAGACACAGAAAGCTTAAGTAACTTACCCAAGATCACACAGTGACATGGCCAGGATTCGAATGCAGACAGTCCAGACAAGGCAGTGCTATACTGCCTTCCCATGATATGTCAAACCCTTAGCACAAAATTAGGGAGAATAATTTTTGGAAAGGTATAACTATTTATCCCTCTCCTTTGTTTTCTTACCATCCCTCTTGTTTTTTTAGTAATAACCAATATTTTTTATTTCCACTTTCCCATGAGTCTATCATAGCTAATTTATAATACTATAACTAGAAAGGAAAATGTTTTCCTCTCCTGCCTCAACTCCTAAAATAGAGCACTTACTCATTAGAACTTCTATGTGGAAAATATATACTGCATGTAATAAACCCAATACACTTGAAATATATTTTAAATTAATAGATTGAAAAAAAAATGATACGGGAGAAAAACATTAGAGATAAAAAGGGAGGCTTGGGCAAAGAGAAAAACCTGTTAGATTTCATGCACAAAGAAGCCTGAGTGGTCTTCAGGACACCAGTCCCCTAAAACCATAATATAAATGCACTATCATGTTTTAGCTTTACTGTGCTTTCTTAAGAAGACAGGTTAAATGCTAATACAAATATAAGCCACAGAAACAGGCCTAGTGGTTTTCTACAACCTTCTGAGGCTTTTCGTTCTCCAGTCTAAATGATCTTTTCTTTGTATCTTGGCACCCCCAGCATCTAGTACAGATCTAGGCATTTGGAGGGCATTCACGTACATGGATGATATGAATTAATCTGGCTTGAAATAAACAGCACCAAGTTAAAAGAAATAAGAGAACCGTGAACTTTTGATTTTTCTTGGGACACAAATCTTGTCATATTATATAGGAAAAATGATTCTAAGAGCACTTTCCTTCCCCAGTTGTACAAAGTATACAATGATCTCTGATAAAAAGTTGTTCCGTCATGCTGATACTTTTATTTCACACTGTTTTATAAAGGGTTCCAAAATACTAGATCTCTTTAATACAGGTCAGGATTCTTTATGACTTTTAAAAACAAATAAATAAATAGAACAGGTTACTACATAACAATTCTTGGCTAAGGAAGTGGTACTTTACTTAACCATTTTTAAGGTAAAGGATATTAAACAAAGGCTCTACCTTTTTTTTTTTTTTAAACCAGATACAGAAAGGATGAGATCTCTGAAGAAGAGACCACAGATATCAACAAGCGCAATTTTTTTTTTTTTTTTCCTGAGACAGAGTCTTGCTCTGTCGCCCAGACTGGAGTGCAGTGGTGTGATCTAGGCTCACTGCAACCTCCGCCTCCTGGGTTCAAGTGATCCTCATGCCTCAGCCTCCAGAGTAGTTGGGATTACAGGTGCATGCCACTGAGCCTGGCTAATTTTTGTATGTTTAGCAGAAACAGGGTTTCACCGTGTTAGCCAGGCTAATCTCGAACTCTTGACCTCAAGTGATCCACCTGCCTTGACCTCCCACAGTGCTGAGATTACAGATATGAGCCATGGTACCTGGCCAAAATAGCTATTTTAAATAAGGTCACTGAAAAAAGACTGGGAGAGAAAAGCTAAAAAAATAAATAAATAAAAATAAATAAATAAATAAATCATTAGAAACAGCTAAATGAAAGAAATAAAAGAAAATTTCTTAAAGAAGGAGTGGTTTTAGTTTGGCTCGTCCATAGATTTGGCCTTAGAACCTCTGAGCTAGTTTTTTCAACCTCTTGCTTTGGAATCAATATATTACAAATGACATATCAATTCAAACTAACCAGGAATACTCTGACTCAAGGAATAAACCAAGGCAGGGCATAGTAGCTCAGGCCTCTAATCCCAGCTCTGTGGAAGGCTAAGGTGGGCAGAGCACTTGAGCCCAGGAGTTCAAGACCAGCCTGGGCAACTGGGCAAAACCCTGTCTCTAAAAAAGAAAAAAAGAAAAAAGAAAAGAAAAGAACAATTAGCTAGATGCATGTGCCTGTAGTCCCAGCTGCTTGGGAGGCTGAGGTGGGAGGATCACTTGCACCCAGGAGGTCAGGGCTGCAGTGAGATGTGATCACACCAATGCATTCCAGCCTGGTCAAAAGAGTGAGACCCCATCTCAAAAAAATAGTAATTAAACAAAAATTAGCTAGGCATAGTGGTGCACACCTGTAGGCCCAGCTACTCAGAAGGCTGAGGTAAAACCCTGTCCAAAAAAAAAAAAAAAAAAAAGGAGTAAATCTAAATCCAGGAGTAGCAGCAGTCCTAAAGTTAGGTCAACCAGCAAGAGAAGAATTTGAAATATGGAATAAGAATGCTGTGTCCATCTGGTTCAAGGAAGGAAGTAGTCCAGTATAAATTAAGCATCAGTGTCGTAAAGCCTTTCTCAACCCCCCACTGTGAGAAGGCAGTCTATTCGATTATTTTTATTCTTTCTCATCAAGTAGGAAGACTTCCCAGTACTCATTCTACCCAATCTGTCCCACCCTTCAGCACTAGCTTGGTCTCCTTCATACAGCTGCTGCTCCAGCTGCACTAAGCACACTTATTCCTGAACACTTGTGTCTTGTGTCCCCAGATCAGAGAATTCTATCACAGGTAACAAGTATGGTCCAGATAACCAGGCAGTCCAAAGGGAAACTGAGGCTTAGCTGATATTGAAATGTGGTTACAGAAGGACAAGTGCAGGCACAGAGCCTTGGCCACCCATCCCTGCCCCCAAGTGCAATTCATTCTCTTTGAAAGAGGAAAACAAGCAAGCAAGAAAATATATAGAATTGAAAATACATTATGCAATGTAGCTAGCAAGGATTAAATTGTTAATTACAGAGAAAAAGGAGGAAAATGCCCAAGTTGTGCAGAAGCAAGAAGCCAGGACTTTTTTTTTTTTTTTTTTTTTTTTTTACGGAGTGTTTCTCATGTTACCCAGGCTGGAGTGCAATGGCGCGATCTCGGCTCACCGCAACCTGCGCCTCCTGGGTTCAGGCAATTCTCCTGCCTCAGCCTCCTGAGTAGCTGGGATTACAGGCATGCACCACCATGCCCAGCTAATTTTTTGTAGTTTTTAGTAGAGACGGGGTTTCACCATGTTGACCAGGATGGTCTCGATCTCTTGACCTCGTGATCCACCCGCCTCGGCCTCCCAAAGTGCTGGGATTACAGGCTTGAGCCACCGCGCCCGGCAGCCAGGACTTTTTTAATAACTGGTTTTGTCAATCCAGTAGTGTGCAAAGGTTGAGCTTGCTTGTCCCCAGGGACAGAAATACCACAATTCTGAAATACCACAATTCTGAAAGTCTGGCTCAAAGCAGAATGTATGCAATTCCTTTCTTAAGTATTGAAAATCTTATCATCACAGGATGTAGACATAGCTAGTCAGGGTTCCGTACCACGACAGAAGGTCAAATCTGAAGGAGTAAGGGAGATCACATAAATACTGCCATCTCATTTCCAAGCTAGTCCCCTTAACTATCAAAACACACGGTGACCCGACTGCTGCTTCTGGCCTCCTGAACTCCCGCCTCTCCACCCCGAAAGTACTGACCCAGAGAGGACACACCTTTGCTTCTGCGTAGCCCAACTTCTGCAACCGCTCAGAGTTAATTACTCCTTCAGCTTCTTGGGGCCTAATAGCTTTACTCGGTCCTGATTATTTATACAGACGGAAAACAATTACGCTCAAGAGATTTTGACAACTTAAAAAAAAAAAAAAAAGAATGCGGTGGAAGTCTAAGATTGCCTCCCCTGTGACGAAACACAGCCCCGCCGGCCGCCCAGACCCGACTCCGCCCGCCTGGCCGCCGCAGTTTCGGAGCTGCGACCCGGGGGGCGCGGGCGCGGTAGGGCCGGGGTCTCCTTTGGGAGTCGCGGGGCGCGCGGGCCGGAGGGGCGCGCGGGCGGCACCTGGAAGCCGAGCGGCGCCCGGCCCCGGCACCCGCTCACCTGGTGCGTGTTGTTGGCCAGCTTGGCGACGAAATCCCGGACCCGGCCGCATTCCTCGTCCTCGCCGGGCGCGCTGCGACGCCAACGGCCGCCGCGGGGAAACGCGCCCCCGGCCGCTGCCGCCCGCAGCCCCCAGCTCACCCCGATGGGGCCGGACCAGCGCGGCAGCGGCGCAGCAGGCGGCGGCGGCGCGTCCAGCCGGTCCTGGCCGAAGGTCGCAAGCGGCAGCAGCTGCAGGAGGAGAAAGAGGCCGAGGCCGTGGAGTCGGGACAGGAGGACGGCCGCAGCTCCTCGGGGTCGCTCCATCGCCGCCGAATGCCTACGCCGCCGACACCTGCCGCCCGGCGCGCCCGCCCACCCCCGCCGGCGCGCGCCACACCCCCGAGCCGAGCGCGGCGCTCCTTGGATACGCGCGGCCGGGCCTCTCCGCCCCATAGGCTGGCCGCCTGTCCCTCTTTCCCGGCCCACTCCTCATTGGCTCGCGTCGCCTCCGGCTTCGGGGGTCCTGGATTCGGATGCCAAGATGCGGGACTGATTGGCTGGAACGTGGCAGAGACTGCTGAGGTCAACCCCGCCTCGCCCAGCGTCTCCCGGGCCCGGCTGGCGGAGTTCACGCAAGAGCTTTTCCCACCTTCCCGCCGAGCCCTGGGCTCCTGGCGCCGCGACCCCTCGCCGCACCTCTAGCGCCCTCAAGCTGGTGCTGTGTTACTTCCCTCCTGTTCCCCAGAGACACCCCTAAAATTCCTTCGGTGAGGCAGAGCCTGGAAAATCTCCCCCAAGGAATCCTTGAGCTCGCTCAGCTGGAAAAAGGAGCTCCATCATGAACCGGGGCTTCAGGTTTTCATAAACCCGGCTCATTGGAGCGCCCATTGTCTGCTAAGCAGCCCCCTTGCTGCCAAGAAGGTGAATGCGAACTGGTGTGGGTCACATCCTACGGAGACAGACATCAGGACATCCGAAACTCCTGCAAGCCTGAAGAATAGTCTTTCCACACGTTTGGCCTCTCGCCTTCCTCTTCTTCGGGGAGGTAGGCCAAAGGCGGAATTACAGGTTTTCCAAGACTTCGAATGTAGCTTAGGCATTTGGGGCAGGTAAAAGGGGGCAAATGACCCAATACCTACTGTTACATGTTCATTTCCTAGATGCACATTTACTTTACCAGAATGCCTCAGCTCTGCAGTGAGAGCTTCGCACAAATTTGGTTCTAGTATGTGATGTCCTCTAAATTAGCACCGTACTCCATCTCTAATGAATAAAATAAAACCCCTACGCTGTTCCCTTTACTGCAGAAGCTGCACACACAACTTCTACAACACGTAGTACAGGTAAAACCAGTTCTGAATCCTTAAACTGACTCCGTCCCTTTAGAAAGCTAGAAATTGTTGAGTAGAAAAAGTAGCAAATAGAAAGCTACAAAATTTGCAAATCGTTACTCTCAAAAAAGTAAAGATGACTTTTAACTATACACTGGCCATAAACCCAAATGAGGGTATAGTCATTGTACAGCAAAATGATACAATGCACCAACCCAATATTTACATTAAAATACTTCTAGTCACGTTAACTTTCAAACGAAAAGACTTAAGAATTTATAAATTTTTCCAAAACAACCATAGTAAGACGTGAGACATGAAAAATGTTTTTGAATGCCATCTGAGCAGGAGAGTAAAATCACAAGAATAGTCCTTTAAGTTGCCAGTTACTGGACTGACAAAGCTGACCAAAACTGGTGAATAATTTGTTCCTTTCATAACTACTATAAGATTAATTTAAAAAATAAATTATTTAAAAATCTATGCGAACTATGGGAGTAGATCACAAGACAGTCAGTTGCAGTAGCATGTGATTACGTGGGGGGAGGAAAGGGGGTTGTAAAGGAATATTTCTTTGTTTAGGTGACACAAAGATGAATGGTCTATTGTCTTACTGTCTGAAAAGACAAAAGCAACAGTGCCATCTCCTGGAGAAATTACCAAATACACTTAAATGTGTTGCAATTATCTGTACCTTCACTTTTTAATGTTGCTTTTAGTTATCACAGGCTTAGGGTACTTATATATTTCCTTCCTCAAACTGTATCAGCTTCGGGGGACATGGTAACTTGCATATGGCACTGAGAAAATATTTGAGTGAATACTTAGTATTTCACTTCTTTTTTAATATCAGAAACCTTAGGAACTATATTTCATTTTTGTCTAATGAGACTGGCATTAACGTCGCAGTGTCAGTTTTCCTTTGTGAAAGGACTAAAATAGG